ATCCAGAGTGCAGACATTCCGTAAGAGCACCGCAGGGACTCAATATACACATGGTAGGTAGAACGTCTTGCCAGGTGGCAGGGTGGTTGCAAGTGGGCTGGGATAAATTGAAGAGTAGGAGAGATGGTAGGGTGGTTGAAGTACTGTATGCAGAAACAGGCCTGGAATTGCAGAGGACCTGCTGGCTTGAGTTTTTGCTGAGGCTGACCTTGTAATTTCACTGGGCCAATCTGGCCCTAAAACAAAGTTACACAAACAAGTTGGTAGTGAAATGAAAGTCTCTGTATGATTGGTTTCCCTTTTTGGGTCTCTCAGGCAGAGCCGGCGGTTCCCTTCCAGCCATCTTTTCTTCTCGAACAGCTCTTTAAAAAGGAATAGCAGGATTCCACTTTGGCACAAATACTAAAGAGATCCACGACCAAGCTCCAAAATGGGCAGTTTGCATCTGTCCAGGATTTCATGCGTGATTAGAGGAAGGGCTTAATGTCCAGGCAGACAGATAAGCATGGAGAAATGCTTTGAGGATGGGTGAGATAACTGCCACATGGCTAAGTCTTAAGAAGATCTCTGTTTGATTATTTCTTGGAAGGATGGCTGCATAAATTAGATGTTCTATGGAACTGGAAAAAGTGCAGTAAATGGTTTCCAAAACTATCATGGGGTCGGAGCATGTTTCTAACAAAGGGGGAAAAAGCATTTGGAGCTTATTGGGTTTCCTTCTTTCTTTTAAAAGATGAATTGTGCTCTCATACAACTGGGATGGGGGAGCTTTTGACCATCTAGACCGGTGGTTCTCAATTTTTGGCCCTCCAGATGTTCCGGACTTCAGCTTCTACAACCAGCATGGCCAAAGGCCAGTAATTCTGGGGCTTGGGGTCCAGGTCATTTTTCAGTGCTGAAGGTTGAGAACCCCTGATATGGAGAAGTCTTCTGCTCGCTGGAAGACAGATTTGTTCAGTGCTGGAGAGCTTCAAGAGCTTTCTTGATGATCTCCAGCAACAACCCCCCTCCTCCACCATTCTTCTTAGTAATTGATTTCATTGTCATCCTGCTCTTACCATTAGATTTCTCCTCATGTTCTAATAAAATCTTTAACCTATGGATATGTATTTAGGGCACCAAAGAATGACTGAGAGCAGGAGTGAACAGCATGTGGCTCACCAGCTATGATTGGACGTGGCTGGCTCCCATCAGCTCAAGATAACACTGCCAGTGGCGAGTGCTACTGAAAGTTACTGTATAGTCCAACAGATTCTGTAGAGCTACATGCTCCTCGTCCTTGTGGTTTCAGAAATGAAGCTTGGCGTAAAGGGAGGTTTTCCTCCACTGCTCAAAATTATCACTAGTTATTACTGTTGTTAAAAGGGACGTGGTGGCGGTGCAGGCTGAACTGCAGAAGCCTTTGTGCGCTGCAGGGCCAGAAGACCCGCCGTAAGATCAAATCCACGCGATGGAGTGAGCTCCCGTCGCTTTGTCCCAGCTCCTCACCAGCCTAGCAGTACGAAAGCATGTAAATACGAGTAGATAAATAGGTACCACCTCAGTGGGAAGGTAAACAGCGTTCCCTAGTCACCCTGGCCACGTGACAACGGAATCTGTCTTTGGACAAGCGCTGGCTCTATGGCTTGAAAACGGGATGAGCACCACCCCCTAGAGTCGGACATGACTGGACTAAAATGTCAAGGGGAACCTTTACCTATTACTGTCCTTAGGGTTTTATTGCCAATTGCTTTCAAAACTCATTGGGTGTATGGATTCAAACATATGTTATTTCAGAAATGATCCTCATCTTGGGATCACCCAACAAAAGTGATCGGCAGTAGATTCAAGACAAACCAACCACTTCTTCACACAGTTTCAGGAGTCCCTGTCACAAAATGGCCACTTGATGGCCACCAGTTTAGAGATGGCACCCATTCATACAGGAGATGAATGTCAGTAGCTATGAGCCAGGCTAGCTGACGGCTGCCTACAGTTTAGAATCAATACACCATCAGGTGCACATGGAAAAGGCAGAATTAAAGATGTTGCGGTGGGTGGGTTTTTGACTACTTGTAAGCTTCTGGGAGGTGTTTTGTTTGGCGCTGTGAAAATCAGATTCTGGACTTGGTGGCTCGTTCGATTGATTCCCACAGGGCTCTTCTCATTCCTAAGGTTTGACCGTTCTAAGGATGTACGTAAGTGTCATGGATTTGAAAGGGTGCTATATTAAGCTTTGCAGAACTTTCCTGATAGCAATCTTCCTCAGACTCTCATTATGCATAGACCAAGAGGCTCAGGACATGCAATGGATATCCTGTCCCTTTCCCCTCTTCTTCCCACCTATTATTATGGAACAGCTGTATATACAGAGAGAGTAATTGAAACAAAGCGGGTGGAGCTGGCTGGAATAAGGAAACAATAAGGCGATTCTGCATCTTTTTCCAGGGAGACTTCTAGACATGCAGCCTCTCAGACATTTTGAGGGCCCTACGGGTTTTTTACTAACAATTCTACAGAAAAAAGATTAGTTTTTTAAAAAACACATCTCTTAATTCTCTTAATTCCCTGTAACCTAAGAATATTTTTCTGTTGGCTTTCTTCACTCTACAACTTTCACCTCCATACATAGGAAACGAGAATACAGTAGCATGGATGATCTTGGTCTCGGTCTCTAGTAGTTCCTTCGTTGCTCCCCTTCCTGTCTCCATTTTGACTGAAATGAAGCTTATACGACGTTTTTAACCATTTCAATTTCTTCATGGCCACCTCTGTGATTCTCTAGATTTTGCTTTGCTTTGCTTTTGCTTACAACATCTGTCAACTTTAACCAGCATAGCCAGTGGTTAGGGATGATGGCAGTTGTTCCCGAACTGTGCGCCACGGCTCCATGGAGTGCCAGGAAACCAACCCAGGGGGGCCTTGGAATCCTCTAATCCTTCCCTCTCCCTTCTCCTCCACTCCCCCCCCCCAAGTATCTTACAGCACTTGCTTGCAGTTTCTCTGGTGTTCGTGCGTGGCGCAGAGAGGCAACCCTGGCTCAAGTCCTGCCCAAGAACTGGGTTTCCTGCCCTCCTGTTTGCAAGGGAAGTATCTTACAGCATTCGCTTGCAGTTTCTCTGGTGTTCGTGCATGACGCAGAGAGGCAACCCTGGCCCAGTCCTGCCCAAGAACTGGGTTTCCCGCCCTCCTGTTTGCAAGGGAACCTTCTCTGCCCCCTCCCCACAAAAAATGTGGTTTCTCCATTTTTACAAAAGCTGCTTCCCTCAGAGAAGTCAAGTGTAGTTCCATTAAGGTAAAGGTAAAGGTTCCCCTTGACAATTGTTGTCCAGTCGTGTCTGACAGAGCAAGGCGGCGCTCATCCCGCTCTTCAAGTCATAGAGCCAGCGTTTTGTCCGAAGACAATCTTCCGTGGTCACATGGCCAGTGCGACTTAGACACGGAACGCTGTTACCTTCCCACCGAGGCGGTCCCTATTTATCTACTCTCATTTGCATGCTTTCGAACCGCTAGGTTGATGGGAGCTGGGACAAGCGACGGGCACTCACTCCGCCGCGTGGATTCGATCTTACGACTGCTTGGTCTTCTGATCCTGCAGCACAGGCTTCTGCGGTTTAGCCCGCAGCGCCACCACGTCCCTACATAGTTCCATTAAGGCACCTGTATATCTCATAATCTCTAGCTCCGTCTAGTGGTTGGTCCTGGTAATACACTTTAGGAAGGTATACTTGTGCGTTTTTTATTTTATTTTAATTTTTTTTCAGCCAGTGGATAAGTGAAACTGTGAGTACTGATCCCGTGGATATGGCAGTCCTACTGTACTGGGGAGTCATGGCCAGTGGCCAGTAAGCCAAGGGAGCTGCGAGTCTAAAAAGTTTGGGAACCACTGGATTATGAGATTGCAGCTCGACAACACCTGGAGGGCCCCAGCTGCTCAACCTTGTTTTTAAATCTCTCTGTAAAGGAGATGAGCAGCCTAATGCTTCAACAGTATGCAGCTGTTTTCCCTTTGTTGAGAGAACACATCCTTTTTATGGAGGAGTTGTTGTTTTTTTGGTTAACCCTCTCTTTCCATTCAGCAACCTTCCCCCCCACCCCCAAACAGTGTGGCAAGCTGTGCTGGGGTCTGCAAAAGAAAGAGATAATCACTGAAAATTATCCTTTCTCCATTTTGCTGATGGACCCTTTCTGTCAGCAGAGGGACATTGCTTGGAAATGATCCACAGCATTTATGGAGAGAAACATTATTTCATGTAATGTCTCTCTTTCTCTCTCTGAAATGGCACTTGAGAACTCTCTCTGTGGGGCCCCAGCATTGGGAAGCCAGCTCTTTCCATTAGCTTTGCCATGACACCAATTCGGCTTGTCTCCTCTAATCCTTGGACTGTTGCCACACTAGCTGGTCACTATAAGAACTCTGGTATCTGAGCCCTTGTGCTGGGGAGCCCGTATGGTGCACATTATTTCATGTAATGTGCACCATAGAGTGGAGGACAGACACTGGGGCGATTGGAGTTCTAATCCCTGCTGAGCCATAAAACACTTGGGTGACCAGGAGGCTCTTCCTTTGTCTCATCCTGACCCGCCGCACAGGCTTTTAGGAAAGTTAGAGAAAGGAGAGAAGAAGAACCTGCTTTGAGGCTCACTGGAGGAAAAAAACAGAATTGTTCTGATAAATAAATAATAGACATAAATCAATAGTTTTGGAACCTGCTATATGCATTGAGAAAGATAGTCTCCTACTGGTGCCAATGGGCCATTTCCTTTTATTCAACATAGTGGCTTTAGAGTGGAGAATTAAGTTCTTCTTTTCCACTTGGTACAGTCCTGAGTTGTGAGGTAGTCAGTCTGCAAGAAAACAACAACAAAAGAACCCTCACAGTGAACGTCATGATGCATTCACTCTTGTTTGGTCTTCATGGGTCCCAAAGTTCTTGAGCCTTCCTGGAAGTTTCTCCTTCATGAGGTATGTCCAGTTTTAATGCTAACTTTGTCCTCTCCTTCCCCCCACGACCCCCAAGGCGACGAAACGATGGATCGGCTACTCCTCGAACATTCTCTTCGCCTCATACCTACGGCTATATTTGTGGCCCCCTGGCTTCTGAGCTGCTTGGGAATGGTGCCATGGAGGAGGATGACCCCAACATGGTGGAAAGTGGTAGCCACTCCACCAAATTTCTCCGCGGTTTCTGCCACACTCCCACGTCCAGCCTGAGTGAGGACGAGGCCTCTTTGGGGGGCTCCCTGCTCAATGGGTGGGGTTCCGTCTCTGAGGACAATGGCACCAGCACCCGCTGTAGCCTGGTCAGTTCGTCCGATGGCTCCTTCCTCATGGATGCCCATTTTGCCCAAGCTCTGGCAGTGGCGGTCGACAGCTTCTGCTTTGGACTGACTCAGAAGGAGGTTGACAAAGCGCTGACAGGTAAGATCTTGTTCTTTCTGAAGGCGGTTGTTGTTGATTTGACCTATATACCACCCCATAGTGCTAGAACACTCTCGGGTGGGGTGTTATGCAATATAATTATGCAAGGAATACTCCCCCCCCCCCG